AATGACTCATTGGAATTTTTGTAACGATGTGTTCCATAAATTTTAAGTGAGTCGTATACTTTTAAACTAAATATTTACAGTATATGGAAAGATTGGCCAGATTTGTTCATGTTTTGAGGCTCTTTTTGTAGCCATTAGAACATTTGTGATTCATTCTAACAAATATTAGTGCTGATTTTAACCTATGTTGTCACCGTTATTTTTTAAAGTATGGGGTTTACTTTTTAATGCTTACTTGTTACATGTAATTTTTTTTTTATCTGTGTGTATCTATACATAGTTTGAAGAGTATAATAGCAAAGACTTGGAACCAACCCAAATGCCCATTGATGAAAGATTGGACAGGGAAAATGTGGCACATATACACCATGGAATACTATGCAGCCATCAAAAATGATCAGTTCGTGTCCTTTGTAGGGACATGGATGAACCTGGAAACCATAATTCTCAGCAAACTCACACAAGAACAGAAAATCAAACACTACATGTTCCCACTCATAGGTGGGTGTTGAACAATGAGAACACATGGACCCAGGGAGGGGAGTATCACACACTTGGGTCTGTAGGGGGGGAATAGGGGAGGGACAATGGGGGGCGGGGAGTTGGGGAGGGATAATATGAGGAGAAATGCCAGTTATAGGTGATGGGGAGGAAGGCAGCAAACCACACTGCCATGTGTGAACCTATGCAACAATCTTACATGTTCTTCACATGTACCCCAAAACCTAAAATGCAATAATAAATAAATAAATAAATAAATAAAAAGAGTATAATAAGTTTACAGTTCTTGTTACAAAATTACCATTACCTGTGAAAACTCAGCCAGTCTTGGTGGCAGGTGCCTGTAATTGTAGCTATTTGGGTGGTTGAGGCACAAGAATGGGTTGAACCTGGGAGACAGAGGTTACAGTGAGTTGGGAACGCACTAGGCACTCCAGCCTGGGTGACAGAGCAAGACTCTATCTCAAAAAACAGAACAAAAAAACCCTGAAAAACCAAGATCACCAGTATCCATCCCAACTTACAATTTTTATTTCACATAATAGCTACTTTCAGTTATTTTAGTTGGCTCTTTTTGTATTTACGTAACTCCATATATCTACAGTGTTATTTTTTAAATTTTTTTATTTTTTTATTTTTTTATTGCATTTTAGGTTTTGGGTTACATGTGAAGAACATGGAAGATTGTTGCATAGGTACACACATGGCAGTGTGATGTGCTGCCTTCCTCCCCGTCACCTATATCTGGCATTTCTCCCCACGCTATCTCTCCCCAACTCCCCACTCCCCGCTGTTCTTCCCCATTTCCCCCCAACCGACCCAGTGTGTGATGCTCCCCTCCCTGTGTCCATGTGTTCTCATTGTTCAACACCCACCTATGAGTGAGAACACACGCTGTTTGATTTTCTGTTCTTGTGTGAGTTTGCTGAGAATTATGGTTTCCAGGTTCATCCATGTTCCTACAAAGGACATGAACTCATCGTTTTTGATGGCTGCATAGTGTTCCATGGTGTATATGTGCCACATTTTCCCTGTCCAGTCTATTGTCGATGGGCATTTGGGTTGGTTCCAGGTCTTTGCTATTGTAAACGGTGCTGCAATGAACATTCGTGTGCATGTGTCCTTAATAGTAGAATAATTTATAATCCTTTGGATATATACCCAGTAATGGGATTGCTGGGTCAAATGGAATTTCTATTTCTAGGTCCTTGAGGAATCGCCACACAGTCTTCCACAATGGTGGAACTAATTTACACTCCCACCAACAGTGTAAAAGTATTCCCATTTCTCCATATCCTCTCCAGCATCTGTTGTCTCCAGATTTTTTAATCATCGCCATTCTAACTGGCGTGAGGTGGTATCTCAATGTAGTTTTGATTTGCATTTCTCAAATTACCAGTGATGATGAGCATTTTTTCATATCTTTATTGGCCTCATGTATGTCTTCTTTTGTAAAGTGTGATCAGGGTACTCTTCTCGGATCTTGCTGATAAGGAGAGTGCCCATTCCAGAGCCTGCGCCCCCGCCCAGTGAGTGGGTCAGCTGGAAGCCCTGAAGGTAGTCACAGCTCTCGGCCTCCTTGCGGACCATATCCAGGACAGAATCAACCAGCTCGGCCCCTTCTGTGTAGTGGCTTTTGGCCCAGTTGTTGCCTGCCCCAGACCGACCAAAAACAAAGTTGTCTGGTCTAAAGATCTGGCCAAAAGGACCTGAGCGAACAGAGTCCATGGTCACAGGTTCTAGATCCACCAGGATGGCACGAGGAACATATTTGCCACCTGTGGCTTCATTGTAGTACACGGAGATGCGGTCCAGCTGCAGGTCACTGTCCCCATGGTAGGTGCCAGTGGGGTTGATGCCATGTTCATCACTGATCACCTCCCAGAACTTGGCACCAATCTGGTTTCCACACTGACCAGCCTAGATGTGCACTATTTTCCTCATGGTTAAAATTTAATTTTTTTGTTCGCCTCAAGGTATGTATGGGGCAAAAAAAATATGTAATTCTTTTTCTCAGCTGGTCGCAGGCTGAAAGGTTGGAATGTGCCCCAGAGGCTGGAGCAGCGAGGTGGGAACGCAGCAGCAGGCAGGTTCTCTACATAGTGTTCTTATACTGCTACTTGATTTTTTACTTTTAGATATTATATATTGACTTCTGATTTTAGAAGATGAATTTAGTTCCTTTTCTTTTTCCCTCTAACCCTAACACATATGCTCACTTCTTGTCACTCCATCATCTCTATATAGTTATATCATAACTTTGGTTAGATTAATATTTAGTGTTTACACTCCAGTGTTTATATAGACACTATCATAATTGAATCATATAAAGTAGTATGATAACTTTTCTTGCACAAAAGTTTTTTTTTCCCTGTAGTTAATTGTATTGATTTTCCTGATTACTTATTATTTCATGTACTCGGTATTATTTCTTCCCTAATTATGTAAACTTCTTTTCAATATGTTAGAATATATTAGTTATTTTATCAGTTTCACTTGCTTAAAGAAATAGCTGTCAGTTTCTAATCTTCTCTAATCTACAGATGGTTGTGTAAGCATTCCGTTCAGTTATCGTTTTGAGATTTTCCTCCTCCATTGACTTGGGAATTCCTTTCAACTACCTCCTAGATTGTAACCCTGTTTCTTGAATCCTATGTCTTTCTTTTTCTGATTTTACTCCCTAAATATTGTGGGGTATATCCTTCAGTAGTTTCTTTAGAATGGTTGCACGGGATGAAAATTGTTAGAAGAGTTTGCATGTCTAAATATATTTTTATTGTACCATCATAATTTATGCTTTCACTGGATATAAAATTTGGACTTGGAAATAATTTTTGCTCAGTATTTTGAAAACATTAGTTAGATTCTCATCTAGCTTCCAATATGACTATTGAGAAATATGTTGCAATTTTATTTTTTTTACTTTTTTTAAATATAAAATTTTTACTTTTGTGGATATATGGTAGTTGTATATATTTATGGGGTACATAAGATGTTTTGATATAAGCATGCAATTGATAATAATCATGTCATGGAAAATGGAGTATCTGTCCCTTTAGGCATTTACCCTTTGTGTTACAAACAATCCAATTATACTATGTTAGTTATTTTAAAATGTGTATTATTTTATGATAATAATAATTATTATTTTGAGACAGAGTCTCTCTCTGTTGCCCAGGCTGGAGTGCAGTGGCGCGATCTCGGCTCACTGCAATCTCTGCCTCCTACGTTCAAGAGATTCTCCTGCCTCAGCCTCCTGAGTAGCTGGGATTACAGGCACTTGACACCATGCTGGGCTAATTTTTGCATTTTTAGTAGAGACGGGGGTTTCACCATTTTGGCCAGGCTGGTCTTGAACTCCTGGCCCCAAGCAATCCACCTGCCTTGGGCTCTCAAAGTGCTGAGATTACAGGCGTGTGCCACCGTGCTTGGCTTATTCTTATTTTAGACTCAAATATATAGTAGGTCTGATGTGCTCAGACATGCATATTGCACTGCTGCCATTTGAATGTACTGTAATTCAAAGGGAAGCTTTTTTGAAGCAAGACAGGTCTTTACACATTACTTATGAATAACTTGCTTCAGATCTTGGATTCCTAGTTGAGGATCTGTTTCTGTAGCCTTATTTGGGTAAAACTTATAAAATACTTTTTATATGGGTATAATCAATTTCTAGATAGATGATTTCTATAAACACTGCGGGGATATTTGGATAAATTATTAGCATTACAATTTGTCCTATGCAGTTTCCCAGTATTTTGAGAGATGAAAATTAGGGAAAACATGGCATTAATGCAGGAACTGAGATGCCTATTCCTATGGCACCACTCACATGCTTGTTCCTACTTTCATCTCAGTGGTAATTTATCTAAAGAAAATAATTGTTGTTGCTCAAGAGTGTCCACAAAACTAATTATTTCTAAATAAGTCTTTTGACTAGATAGTGCTTTAGACACATTATAGAACTTCAGAATTTTTTAAGTTGTCTCAATTTTGAAAAAACAAAAACAAAAACAAAAACAAAAAAAAACAAAAACCATTCATTTCCCCCTCACTTCTCATCAATAGTGATTTTTTGTCTTTGAATATACTTCCTGTTCTAGTGCCTTTAACTGGATCTGGCAACCAAAAGCAGGGTTTTAGCCTGCCCTTTGGCTGGGCAATTATTGGGTCTCTCATTTCCTGTTACAAAGGATCTTTTAACTTCTATTAGTAATTTATTGTAATACTTTTTCATACATAACTAATTCCCCAACCTGAATGTTTTGCAGTTTATCCTTATACAAACTTAGAGGTTTTGACAAGGAAGCTTATTTTGATGTATAGGACACATTAAGTATGTTTTTTTTTTTTGTTTGTTTGTTTTTTGAGATGGAATTTTGCTCTGTCTCCTAGGCTGGAGCGTAGTGGCACGGTCATGGCTCACTGCCACCTCGGGCTCCCAAAGTGTGTTGGGGTTTAAGGAAATCATGAATTTAATGCATTTTTTTTTGTTGCAGATTTCATATCTTCATGAACTCTGTTGGAACTTTGGATCAGAAACCCAGAAGAATAATAAATATGAAGAAAGTTCTTTCTGGCTTAGGTAACATAAAAAATGAATGTAAATTGAGGAATATTATCATAGATGTCAGTTAATATTTACTGTAGAGTACTTGGGCAGTTTAAACCTTCTCTGACTTCAGAATCCAATATGCTATGTTTATTTACTCTTTTCACATGTATTGTTTATTATTCTTACACATTGCCAGTTCATAGTTCATAGAAAAATGTTTTCTTCTCTTTCTTTCTTTCTTTCTTCCTTCCTTCCTTCCTTTCTTTCTTTCTTTCTTTCTTTCTTTCTTTCTTTCTTTCTTTCTTTCTTTCTTTCTTTCTTTCTTTCTTTCTTTCTTTCTTTCTTT